TATATATATATATATATATATATATATATATATATATATATATATATATATATATATATATATATATATATATATATATATATATATATACGGTATAACTATATTAGTACCTTTTTGTGTTCAATATATAGACCACAGTAAGACTTTTTTAAATGTTTATTTCATTAACAAAGACGTTTCGGAGATTTACTCCATCTTCAGGTAGGATTACAATTTGAATTTAAACTAACATGCGCATGCATAAACGTTCAATTAAAAATTGATTGGCAAAAATCCCTAAATTAGGCCTGCTAGACTAACTTCTCATTACTAATGCATCAGTCAATTCCAGCTGCGGGCATTTGTCAATATCGGGTTATTACCCCCGGGCATTTGTCGCTCACAGAGAAAAAACCGCGGCCACGAGTTTCCTTTGCTGTATGCCAAAATGGAGACTATTAAATACGTTAAACAAATTTTATATAATATATTATTGTTGAATTCTGGTTTTCAAGTGTGAATCAATGTTTAATATTTTCCTTCAGTCCACATTATACATGTTGTAGAGAGTTTAAGCTTCGCGTTAAACGGCAAACGGCAAGCGCCAGCCAGCGAAGAAAAAAAATACGGTATCAGGCAATAAAGAGTAAATGAACTTGCTGTTTTAAAACTGCAATGCATGACTATTCTTTCGACACAAGAAAGAAAATATGAAACGAAAACGTTTAACGAAAATTTTGCGAAGAAAGTTCAAATCTGCCGTTTGCCTTTCCCGGAAACGCGAAGCTTAAACTTCCTTGTATTTACAATGAAAAACTTTCTGCAATAAAAGCAAGTGTGTCACAGCCTTTCGTCAATGTTTTCATCTGAAATAAACACGATAGTTTTCCTTGTTTGTTTTTTTTTGTAAATTCCCAAAAACACATGTAATTAATGTAGTACATTCTTTGAAATTGACTAATTTGTCGGCCCGGGGGTAGAGCATTTGTTTTGTTTTTCGTCCCAAGGGTGGGGCATTGTTCTTTTTTTTGGCCCTACCCTTGGGCATTTGCACGAAAAAAATAAAACTATACCAATGCCCGGGGGTTGTCCCGGGGGGGATGGTCGCAGCTGGAATTGACTGATGCATAAGAGTTTAATTAAATATCACAAAGTCGTAAACTGTGAATCTTAATCGCTGTTTATATCATTACGATACAATATTCACTGGTAAAACGTTGAGATAGTAAAAACTAATTCGCACCATTTTTGCGAGTCGCGCCATTTTTCACAAGTCGCGCCACTTGTCACGTGTCGCGCCATTTAGTCGCCGCATGGCGCACCAATTAGACTATCTCATCGATATTATAATTCCCGCTATATCATGTTTATGTATCAACATTTTTATTACAAGAGCTGCCCATATTTAAATCAGCTGTGCTAACATAACTTTCTTACTGCTAAATGTGTCAAATAAATGTCATATAACCTTAATTGTCCTATGTTCTACAATTCTATTGTGCGACACTGCCTAAATTGAACCACTATTAAATAAGTAAATTTACGCAGCGATATTTCAGTTACCAGAATGCAATATACCTCCAGCTTGGATTTGTGCCAACATCTCCTCAATATTCTTTAATCTATTTTCAATCTTTGCCGTTTCCATGGCTGCTGTATTCTCAATCTTTGTTTCCAAGCAGGCTGCTGTATTTTCAATCTTTCTTTCCATACAGGCTGCTGTATTTTCAATCTTTGTTTTCGTAGCTGCCATATTTTCATGCACCACATCATTCGTCTTCTTTATATCTTTTCTCAGTTCATCCAATTTCTCCTCATGATCTTCTTCGTCATTTTTCATCTCGTTTAAACGCTCTTCCAATTCGTCATCGTCATAAACCTAAAGTGGTTAAAAATATAAAACTTAAACGCAAGTATTTTCAACTTAAACGAAAGTATTTCTTTTAACATTTTCAGGCATCTACTCTGTATAATATGGCATTATGCAGGATCACACACATTTTGGCATGTACATATAATTGCCTTTGTACTTTCTTACTTTATTTATAAATTTTTATTAATAATAATTTTGACGTTCATATATGAAAATGAATAGTCTAAGTGTTGAAGAGACCAACGCGTCATGAAAGTAATTCTAATATTTATTTTAATACATACATACCTTTTTCCATTGTCGCAACAGCCACGAGCTCGAGTATTGCACCCTCTCATCTGGAGGGTCTTGAGTAATTTCCTTAATTTCAGGTGGTGAAAAAATGCGAAAATTGTGCAAATTTCTTTCCAATGTTATAACAAGAGTCGCCTAAATGTGAACGTAAAAAGAATTGTATTATCACATACTAGAAATTACAAGTATCTAAATATTTATAACCACAATCGCACATATTATTTTATTTCTGATAGTTTGCAGCCCAGTGGTGGATCCAGAAAGGTTTTTTATGAGGGTGCTGGGCGAGTAGCCAAGTACACCGAACACCGCAGTACTGGCAGGCAGAGTACAGAATTGTTGAATGTATAAAATGTAAATGCCCGCTTCTCCTGATATATTGTGATTGTGTGAAAGACAAAATGGAAATTTTTCACGTTGGCGCACTTGACGTTTTTCATATTGGCGCACTTGACACTGACTGTGCAAAATTTGACTCCCACTTCAATAACAAAGATAGCAACCCCCCTTTCCCCGTTCAATGTTGTCTGTTGTGTGTTATACGTCCAAGGTGTTACCCAACATTGGTAAGGGGGATAGGGGGTGTTTGGACATGACATTTTGCGTAAATTGACAAGTATTTATATGGTAATCAGAAATGAAGCAAAGGTTATGCTATTTAGACTAAGTGCGCCAAGGATATTTGACCAGGATTGTCTCAATGTGCATTATCTTACATTTTTATTTTTATTTCATCAAAATACATCGGCCTTAATCCTTGAATCGTTAGTGAACCTTTAATAATGTTTTGCGTATTAATAACGTGCGTCTCAATAAATAATAAACATTTATAATATAATAATTATAAAATATAATAATAATGGAATATTAAAGTACGCTATTTCATACATATATCCTGTTTTAGAATTTTCACTTTAAATCGTACTTAATCTAACAACATTATGGGAGTGTGCACATTTTGAAAAATATAATCAGATGGAACTACATGGATTTAAGCCGTAATTTCTGGTCTTGTATATATTTCACAAGTTACATTTGACGACTGAATACCATGTGGACATTGCTTTACTAAGTTTGTTTCAGATAACAAGTTATAACTAAATCGCATTAGTCATTGACGTAATAAGCACTTACAACCTATAATGTTTCACGCCCAGATGTGCATAACATAAAGTCATAGGTCCATACATTACTCCATCAAAAAATTCATTGTAAATCTATTAACTTTTAATATTTGCAAATACAGTAACGATCAACTAATTTGCTTCGAAATAAATAAATTATAGCAATATCTTGCATGATTTTGAACAGTGCTCCCCATTTTCCTGAAGAATTCAGTGAGATAGTCAAGGAATTTAAGCTAGGTTTGTGGAGTACTGATCTTAATTTTGCAATAATGACCTAACTAAGATTTTAAAATGAATAAATGCATTTATTCAAGTAGTGCAAACCACTTTGTGTATCCGAAAACAAAATTTTTTGCATCCTTGGCAAATAATTAGGAAATATCAAGGGAACATTGTTTGTAATTTTGCGTTGCTGCACCATTGGAGTCACGCTGTGAAGACGTGTAATTGTACTTAGCATTTAATCTACTTGTTGACAGCAAGCTAATTGCCTATTTGCGGAAATAGCTACACCTATTTTGATCTGTACTGCCCTCACTCTGCCTTGAATTACTATATATAACAGTAAAAGATAGAACTTCTAGTATTTTATGCGATTTCCTCTTGCTTTTCCTCTTGCTTTAAGAACAGCATCTACTCGACTTGACAGGCTTGAAATAGTACGATCGATTACATCGGGTGACAGACTTTCCAAGGATTTTAAAACCCGCGCTGAAAAGTCTTGGAACGTTTCGTAGGCTACGTTATATTATTAGCAATTGCTTCATTCTCGAGACTTTTCTTTACCAGGTGAAAGACATTTTCAATCGGCTTCAGGTCAGACGATGTAGCCTTGTGAAATTCAGCCTCGATTTTTCCATTGCTTTTCGCGCTGCTTTACTCGTTTGTGATTGGTCAGTATCCATGAAAAACAAGCGACGATCTTTTTTTACGTCCGCACTTTGCAAAACAAGTATTAAAATGCTTTCCAATGAACTCTGCAAAGAATTTGCCATTCATTTTCTCATAGGGAACTTTGAGAACCACACCTTTCCCATCCTTTCAAAATAGCGACAATTACGATCGCTCGTCAACTTTTCTTGGGCGACTTGTTGCCTTTTAACTGTTTAGATCTCAGCGCAGCTGGTTGTTGGGCTTCCTTCTATATTCTTGCTACTGATGAAGGGCTTATATGATATTTTCCCGCGATCTCCCTATTCGAAAAACCCGATTCCTTTCTATAATAAAGTACCAAAGCCCTTGTCTTTGCTGTGATTTTTCTTGTGTAAATCATCCTTAAATTAATCTAATTATCGAAGTGCATATTATTCAATTTTATTTTCTATCCAGCCTCACTTAATCTACGCGTACGGGATTATCATGATTCATAGTAACACCCCCACATATGACGTCATAATTATCAACATTACGACGCGCACAGTAGGTTTTCAATAACTCCCAACGAAATAATCTAGAACACGCCTCCCAATACACGTGGAAAACACGTAAATAATGCTTCGGTACATTCTGAGTCAAAATTATAATTGTACATAAATTTTAGTTTCATTTTTATATTCGGACTGTAGTGCTGTGGTGTACCCTGCTGGCAGTGGTTTTTGAGCTGAGGAGAAACCACTGCCAGCAAACGAACGATCGTTTCATGTAGCCGCCGTCCAGATTCAAGGACGAAACATTATCAACCGGTAAAACAAGTTTGACAAGTTTTTGTTGTTGTGCGCATGGGTCAATGCTTGCCACTGCTGGTAAAATGTGAGCCAGTTGTACACTTGAAAAAACATCACGCTCTAAATATAGTAACACGCGCTATAAATATACTACAAAATATTATAAATTTACAAAATATTGAATAAAATGTGAGAAATTATACATTAAGATGACTTGAAAACCGCTTAGCGTTCAACAGAATAACTATAAATTCCAACAAAAATCAATCTTTACAGAAATAGTAGCGCCGTCGCGACGATCTTTGATGGGTTGAAATTCGTGGCGATTGAGGTCGCGACAATCAAAAATTGCAATAATTGTCAAAATCAACAGTAATTGGAAACGTTATATTATTTGGAAACTTTGGGAATTGGAATCTATCGAAAACCTTAACACAATCTCTAACGTCAAGACGTTTAAGTAACACAAATAAAGTTCATAAATCGAAATGAAAAAATTTGTATTGTCGGATAAATACAAAAATTTTAAAAGATATAACAGAAATTCAAATGCACAATTTGTACTTAGCTGTAGGGTGAAGCAGCGATTTCAAAATATTTTAGTATTAAATGACGAGATTAAAACCGATACGTTTAAATGACGAGATTAAAACCGATACAAAAATTGTGAACTGCGTGTAGAATTAAAAAGTCGTAAATAAAACCACAGATAAAACAGTACGCTTGTTTACAGATAACGGACTACAGGAAATGAAGTCAAATTAGTGACTTCCCATCACGTGATCTTCGCGCAGCTCGATAGAAGGTCGTTCGTTTCCACGCAGTGGTTTCTCCTCAGCTCAGAAACCACTGCCAGCAGGGTATAGTAGCTGTGGTGTTGCCTTGAACTCCAAAACTTAAGTTAGCCTAAGACAGATAGCAAACTTTTAATACCTCAAACATTCAAAAGTAAGATTGCACGCCCACCGCCCCCCCCCCTCCCCCTTGCACACCAGTTGACCAAGGCCAACACGACACACACCCCTGTGCACATTCCCCCTATAAATCCACCACCGGTCCAGCCACAGATCGTACAAGGCCTTATTATAGTATGATTAAAGTCTTTTCTGTTTTAAACAAAAAAGAGCGAATAAGCTTATTAAATACTTCGCTATAGCTGCAGGCTTGCAGCTATAGGAAACTACTATAAATTCAAAAACAAGATGGCGCCTTGTACGTGGCAGTGACATCGTACCATAGAGATTATAAATAACACTAGAGGAGGCATCGAGTTTAAAAATTGGGAACGCAGCTAATGGGGGGCAAATTCAAGTCCCGGATATAAAATCGTGCTCTCATTGGCTGATTTGAAACTCGTCACCAATGGGAACACGAATACACATCCGGGACTTGAATTTGCCCCCCAATAGTCGCGTTCCCTTTTTTTTACTGAATTAAGATTACAATGCCTCCTCTAGTGTTATTTATAATCTCTATGCATCATACGCCAACAATAAAAAGGCAAACAGGCATTGACATCGGAGGTAGCTGTTCAATTAACGTCAAGTAAGACTGTCAGAGCGTGATTTGAGCAAAACTTAAAGCATTTTAACATTTTAAAAATTAAAACCAGGTTTCCTTACAGGTCGTATTAAAGGGTCGTAAAGACAGAATCACAAACTTTCTCAATGGCCAGATTATAATAGTTTTGTACCTGTGAATCACATGCATATAAATAATAAGTATTCTCTATTTAGTGTATTTCGGCTGTTGAAAAATACCGTGATTCAATCTTTACGACCGTTATACGACCATATGGAAACCTAGCTTAAATATGGGTCCTCGGAAAGGATAACGATATATAGTTGCATTTTCGCAGCTGCTCCTGGTTAGGTTTAAATATATTTGTAATTTTTATATTCGAAATTTCCATCTACATAAGGCCCAAAAGATTGTTGTAATGCAGGAAAAAGAAGGACTAAAATGGTTTACAATTTCAATAAAAATTCATTGTTTTACCGCAAAAGTATTATACAATCTTGAACAATACTGTAGAGTTTTTTGTTTTTTCGCCTGTAATTGATACTAATCCGAAAACTGCAAATACGCCCCCCCCCTTTCCGCCCTGATCAATACGGAGCTTTAGATTTGACCACGAGTACGACTACGAATACGAGATTTGACCACGTGCGAGGAAATTACCGTGGTCGTTTTCGTTTCCATTCAAATGTTGTTTTTATAGCAGTAAACCAACAACGAGAGAAAAAGTTTCATAAACTAAATCTCCTGCAGACTAAAATCCCTTACAAAACGTGTGAATAAGTCATAACATTAATTAAAAGCAGGTCAGATATTTACTACTATA